AGTACCGTATTGATGTTTCATACACTTTTCTGGATTTCGAGTTATTTTGCAATTCATCGTTCTCATTTGGAGTCAAACGGACTGTACCTGGGTAGCCGAGTTGGCAGCCTGCGCGGCATTTACGAGCTGTGTCGATTGCACGTTAATTGTGTTGCCACCTTCAATATTTCCGTAATTGAAAGACTCACCATCAGCTGTTGCCTCCTGCGTAATGATGTGTAATGGTGTAATGGTGTTTGTCTTCTGGTTGTCCTGGCCTGCTTGGCTCCCCTCACAAACTTGTGGTTGACGGCTGATCTTCTCTTGGGAGGCATCACGGAAGGTCGAGATGGTGAGTTGGTATTCCACAAGTGTAAAAATGTTCCGAGGTTGAAGTTCGGGAGTAGAACGAAATAAATGTGATACGGCGAGTGCTGAAATAGGTGGTATTCAAAGCGTAATTGGCAAAACGGTCGCGATTGTGTAAATGCGATACTGCAAGTGTTGAAATAGATGTTATTCAAAGCCTAATTGGCGAAACGGTCACGATTGCGTTCAAAGGAAACGTACAAAGCGAAAGCGATTAGATACAGCCAAACACGTGTGTACTTGAAGAAAGACGGTGCGCGAATGATGGACTATAACAAAGGCGGGATGATGCTTGCGCGGGATTATTGCCCCGGGCACGGTGCAGAGTGGTGACCCGGGGGTGATTGAGTTACAAGGGGTGATTGGGTTATGGGCGTAATTAGCCAATGGTTACGCGCGATAAAGCTATTTAGTAGTTAGTACTAAATATAATTATGCCTAATAATAAAATGATACAATTAAGGAAAATGTATGTTATACGCACACAAACATATTCTTTTTCTCCCTTTCTCACCCACAGTAATATAAACCTGATAAAAAGAAACACGAATAACATACATGTTGGTAAATATATGAAGACTCGCTCATATTTAAGAGATATTATATTGTTTCGATACACATACTGGTATGTTGTGTGAACCAAGCTCATGAACACATCACATGTGACGTCATAGATCCATGACTTGAGATGCACCATTTGTCTCCATCTTCCCGAGGCAAGGGAGTTGACTGACTTTAAAAGTCCAGTTTCCACCCTTGCCGAACTAGGTTTGAATTCCTGGGCTCGATCGTAGCGTCACCAGTGGTTATCATGAGTTATGTCCCTTTTGAGCCTCTCCAATGGACCAATCTGATTCCATCACTCGCATTTGTTTCAAACTAAATTGCGGCACCCAGTTAAGACAATCTGATCGATAATCAAGATCAGTATTGTGATAAAACGGGTCTTACATCGCGAAGTGCACCAAATCACGCGTGCACATGCTGTGCACATCCTGCTACCGACCAAAATCTGCATGACAGTTTACGAACTGAATTTCGATTTTGTTGCGAGGTTTTGATTGGACTATGCATAGACTCGTTGGTCCAGCCAAAATGTAACAGCTACAAGCTATAAACTATATATATTACTGAAAGCACCTTTCAACAAGATGGTAGTTTAACACACTAATTACATTATATTCTACTGGTTACTTTAGTCATTGCTAATCTCAGTACATACTAATGTATCATGACATTGTGAAACAAATAAAATATTTACGACATTGCATATCATGTTGATGATACTGCAAATTATGCTATGTAACAGATATGCTATTAAAATGATAAAAGTATATAAAGCAAGACTAAGATATCAGATCCTAACCTCCTTATGATAAATATAAATACTAAAGAAGTCTAAATTAACTTTCCCCAATCAGTGCAGTGCATTGAATCACGCAGAGTTGTAACTGCAGCAGTGACCAGAGAAGAGAAATATTGAAGTGTTTAAAGCTAAAAACCTGGTCACATGCTACAGAAACAATAGAATAGGCAATCACTGGCCAACCTGTGGCTGGACCATATCACAAAGGACCTTACATAACTCCTTTACCTTTAGGATTAGAAGAGAGTGCTCAGGTTAGTTTAAGGAGCTACCACCGTACTTAACTAAATTATTTATCCAAGTCACAGGGTATCACAGGACTAGGAAATTTTATGGCTGCTACATTGTATTATGTGATGTGTAATGATGTGATGTGTAATGATGTGATGTGTAATGATGTGTAATGTGATGTGTAATGTGATGTGTAATGTGATGTGTAATGATGTGATGTGTAATGATGTGATGTGTAATGATGTGATGTCTAATGTGATGTGTAATGATGTGAAATGATGTGGTGGTAATGATGTGATGTGTAATGTGATGTGTAATGAGATGTGTAATGATGTGTAATGATGTGAAATGATGTGATGTGTAATGATGTGATGTGTAATAGTGTGGTGTGTAATGATGTGATGTATAATGTGATGTGTAATGATGTGGTGGTAATGATGTGGTGGTAATGATGTGATGTGTAATGTGATGTGTAATGTGATGTGTAATGTGATGTGTAATGGTGTGATGTGTAATGATGTGATGTGTAATGATGTGTAATGTGAAGTGTAATGATGTGATGTGTATGATGTGATGTGTAATGATGTGTAATGATGTGATGTGTAATGATGTGATCTGTAATGATGTTTAATGATGTGATGTGTAATGATGTGATGTGTAATGATGTGATGTGTAATGATGTTTAATGATGTGATGTGTAATGATGTGATGTGTAATGATGTGATCTGTAATGATGTTTAATGATGTGATGTGTAATGATGTGATGTGTAATGATGTGTAATGTGATGTGTACTGTGATGTGTAATGGTGTGATGTGTAATGATGTGATCTGTAATGATGTTTAATGATGTGATGTGTAATGATGTGATGTTTAATGATGTGATGTGTAATGATGTGATGTGTAATGATGTGATCTGTAATGATGTTTAATGATGTGATGTGTAATGATGTGATGTGTAATGATGTGATGTGTAATGATGTGTAATGTGATGTGTACTGTGATGTATAATGATGTGATGTGTAATGATGTGATGTGTAATGATGTGTAATGATGTGATGTGTAATGATGTGATGTGTAATGATGTTTAATGATGTGATGTGTAATGATGTGATGTGTAATGATGTTTAATGATGTGATGTGTAATGATGTTTAATGATGTGATGTGTAATGATGTGATGTGTAATGATGTGATGTGTAATGATGTGTAATGATGTGATGTGTAATGATGTTTAATGATGTGATGTGTAATGATGTGATGTGTAATGATGTGATGTATGAATGATGTGTAATGATGTAATGTGTAATGATGTGATGTGTAATGATGTTTCATGATGTGATGTGTAATGATGTGATGTGTAATGATGTTTAATGATGTGATGTGTAATGATGTTTAATGATGTGATGTGTAATGATGTGATGTGTAATGATGTGATGTGTAATGTGATGTGTAATGGTGTGATGTGTAATGATGTGTAATGATGTGATGTGTAATGATGTGATGTGTAATGATGTGATGTGTAATGATGTGTAATGATGTGATGTGTAATGATGTGTAATGATGTGATGTGTAATGATGTGTAATGATGTGATGTGTAATGATGTGATGTGTAATGATGTGATGTGTAATGATGTGTAATGATGTGATGTGTAATGATGTGTAATGATGTGATGTGTAATGATGTGTAATGATGTGATGTGTAATGTGATGTGTAATGGTGTGTAATGTGATGTGTAATGATGTGATGTGTAATGTGATGTGTAATGATGTGATGTGTAATGTGATGTGTAATGATGTGATGTGTAATGATGTGAAATGTGATTTGTAATGATGTGTAATGATGTGATGTGTAATGATGTGATGTGTAATGGTGTGATGTGTAATGGTGTGATGTGTAATGAAGTGTAATATGATGTGTACTGTGATGTGTAATGATGTGATGTGTAATGTGATGTGTAATGGTGTGATGTGTAATGTGATGTGTAATGTGATGTGTAATGATGTGATGTGTAATGATGTGAAATGTGATTTGTAATGATGTGTAATGATGTGATGTGTAATGATGTGATGTGTAATGGTGTGATGTGTAATGGTGTGTAATGTGATGTGTACTGTGATGTGTAATGATGTGATGTGTAATGTGATGTGTAATGGTGTGATGTGTAATGTGATGTGTAATGTGATGTGTAATGGTGTGATGTGTAATTGGATGTGTAATGTGATGTTTAATGATGTGATGTGTAATGATGTGATGTGTAATGATGTGATGTGTAATGATGTGAAATGTGATTTGTAATGATGTGTAATGATGTGATGTGTAATGATGTGATGTGTAATGGTGTGATGTGTAATGGTGTGATGTGTAATGGTGTGTAATGTGATGTGTACTGTGATGTGTAATGATGTGATGTGTAATGTGATGTGTAATGGTGTGATGTGTAATGTGATGTGTAATGTGATGTGTAATGGTGTGATGTGTAATGATGTGAAATGTGATTTGTAATGATGTGTAATGATGTGATGTGTAATGGTGTGATGTGTAATGGTGTGATTTGTAATGGTGTGATGTGTAATGGTGTGTAATGTGATGTGTACTGTGATGTGTAATGATGTGATGTGTAATGTGATGTGTAATGGTGTGATGTGTAATGTGATGTGTAATGTGATGTGTAATGATGTGATGTGTAATGTGATGTGTAATGTGATGTTTAATGATGTGATGTATAATGATGTGATGTATAATGATGTGATGTGTAATGATGTGATGTGTAATGATGTGAAATGTGATTTGTAATGATGTTTAATGATGTGATGTGTAATGATGTGATGTGTAATGGTGTGATGTGTAATGGTGTGATGTGTAATGATGTGTAATGTGATGTGTAATGATGTGATGTGTAATGTGATGTGTAATGATGTGTAATGGTGTGATGTGTAATGATGTGTAATGGTGTGATGTGTAATGATGTGATGTTGTGATGTGTAATGATGTGATGTGTAATGATGTGATGTTTAATGATGTGCAATAATGACATGTGGTCTGTTTCTTCTGCCAGGAGCTGATCCTGTGTTCGGTGTTTACCTGCTACTTCGGCATCCTGAGTGCCTTCGCCCCCACCTACATCTGGCTGCTCATACTGCGGGGTCTGGTCGGTTTTGGCATTGGGGGAGCACCACAGTCGTATGTACAACAGTCTTGGTTCAGTAGAAGAGCATGTAACCCACAGAAATGTTAACAAATGTCTGATGAAAATCCAATTTGTCATGTATCTTTGAGACTGCCTTTGTGGTCTAGTGGTTAGATTGTTGGTGATTCTATCCTCAGCCGTGTCATACCAAAAGACTTTAGAAGATGGTGCTAGTTGTTATCTTGCCTGGCGTTTGTCATTAAGGGGATAAAAAAAGGACAGGTTGACTCGGAGTCAGCATACTGTGTCTGAGTGGGGTATAAAAGTGTTAAACTGCGACATGGTATCTCAATCACAGTGGGCGGAGCTTATTTATGGTTGCGCTATAAATAGCGCAGCACATGGTCCTGTGTACATGTGATACATTCAATGCATTTGTGGTCAAATTGTATTGTGTATATATTTATGGTGGAACAGCAGCACAACAACAGTTTCGGTAAATGTTTCAGTTATGATATATAAATATGAAATTGACGGTAGTTACACACAAGTATTAGCGTCAACATTCTTTCAGTTCAATCTGATAATGACGTATATATTTAGGAAGCATATATGTTTAGTTTTGGTAACTTGCATTCAACAGTTATACCATAAAATAATCAGATTAGATTAGATTTTAAAACTGAAATTATAACACCGATTTTTCAACTAGTGTTGAGGAGGAGGTCTAATTTGAAACACCAGAAGTTAGGCCAATATTTCTTAGCTGACAACAATATATGAATATGTCATGTGCATCAACATAACAATGCACATAACCAACTGATAAATAAGTAACGAAATAAAACTAGATGTTTGACCCTATGTTAGGCCTATCTAGATCATATAGTACTTCGATAAACGCAAAATCCAAAGCACATCTGCTGCTACGTTGAATATCCATTTCTTCAAGTTCAAGTATCTAGGATCTCTCCAAACATTTCGTCTATTCAGTACAGTCCAGAAGCATTCGTAGCTCGGTTTACGAATCGACAAATTCTACAACTTGGTGGGGCACCCTTACCATGATTTCCTGTGTTGTGCCACGCATGGTTGACAAAGCAGCGTGAACAGACAACTTCGCCTTCATCTGATTCCACAATGAAATCTGGCTGTGAAACTGAACTACTAACCCCAAGAATCGAGTTGACAGCCGGAATGATGTCATCTTGAATTGGAACTTTCTCCATGATAAAGTCATCAATGTCATAGTTTAAATGACCAAAGGCTCTCCTGATCATCTCGAACAACTCTTCCGTCAACACATGAAACAGGGTTTTTTGTTACTCATATTGAAAATTTGCAAAGTACTTGACAGTAAGCACAATCCAATTCGGCATGGTTGCTAAGAGATGGCATGATCCAAAGGGGCAAACAAAAAGTTTCCGAAAGTAATTTGAAGAAATCCAAAAATACCATGCACAGCAGAGCATGGTTATACAGTAGTTTTTTAAACCAAAGACCTTTGTGTATGTTGTAAAGTCTTGTAATCGTTTACGGATGTTTATCACTATTAAAACTTATGTCCTTCTTGTGAAATGGCCCATGTGGGTGGGTGTTTACATGACGTCACCTGTTTACGTATTAACCTATGACATTTGTGTGTTATCATGATGTCATTTGGACCTGTCTGATCACTCGCATAAGCTCCGCCCCCTGAGACTGTGGTAGTTGCTACCCCAGATGCTGCTTTCACTTTTACATGAGTGTATGTCTGCTCAAATTGTTCTGCAGGACAATCTTTTGTAGTTTGATTACAACGTATGGATAAAAATGATATCAAAACACCATTGGAGGAGAAATCAATGTCATCGTTTCAAGAGTATAGTCTTGTGAAAAACATATAAACATCAGATAACCTCACACAATGCATTTCTCTTTCTTGTTTTTATCCAAAGTGGAACATATCTAAAATAAAGGTTTCTATCTTCTAAAGTTTATTCACCCTTATGTACCTCACATCGCCATGGTCACCTTCCAGATCTGGGCCTTGCACGCTTTGCATGCTGGTTGACCTACATGTGCTGATCATGTGTCTATCCCAGCAAACTCATTTGTCTAGAAGGAATCCATTTTTGTTTTTTTCCTTGCCGATTTGCCTCCTTCTACGTCTTCTTGCCTGCATTGGCTTTGCCTTTCGTCATGCAGTTTTCTCTCTTGAGTGCCAACCTCTGTTTTTTCGGCAGTCTTCTTGCCAGCACCTCACCTTTACCCTTGTCGGGATATAGGTTTTTCATCATGGACAAGCAGCCCCAACATTGACCTGTGTGTACGATGAGCAGGCACACCTTCACTCCTCCACACCCTCAGGGAATCGTTCGCCTAAGTTTCACGTTAAGACTTTATGGATTCTTCATACTCAGCTTAGGAGGATGAACATTGGACATTTTTCTTATTTGACTTGTTCTTCTTCCTCTAGTCATCCAGACTTTTGACCACGAAATTATCTTATTTTCACCAACAATGGGATTATCCCTGGACATGCACATGATTAGGAATGTTACAAACATTATTTGGACTCTTTTCCTCCATGGCATGGATACTCTTACAACTCTGCTTTTCCGGACTACCTATCTCTCGGTTGGTATGTCCTCCATCGACATAGGGATAGCCACACCCGCCAGGTACTGTTAGTAGATGTTTGTAGACATCGTTCTACTTTGCCTACTCGTTGTTCGGGTTCACCTTCTCCACCTCCGATTTGACGCCTTAGACGCCCTCCTGCTGTGACTGAACCACAGGTTCTTCTGCCTCCAGCCGTCCTGATTTTTTCTTCTCTCGTAGGTGGAAGATAGGACCTTTCTAGACAACCCATTTGTGTTTCCTCTTTTACAAGCAGGGTATCCTCCCCTCATACGGCACCGCAACAACGTACAAACCTTGTCAACATCTATATCTGGACAAGCAGCTCACAGTCCTCATCTACGCCACAAGCACGTTGCTTGTCAAGAATGCTGTAGAGTGTCTGGGCACATGACCGATGACACCAGGGTTCTGTTCTCCAATATTTCTGGTCCCAAAGAAAGACAATATCCCTGTCCTTCCACAGTACTGCCACTTTCTCTGGTTCGTATTCCTAGTCCAACACTATCAATGGTGATTGCTCCCGTTTGAAATTTCTCTGACCCTTTGGCTTTTTTCTTGCTTCATAAAACCCATTGTCACATTCTGACATATTCAAGGCATTGCTTTCGAATCTTACATCTATGACTGCACTCTTCTGCAACACCTCGATTTCACACAACACCTCCTTCACCAACTAGGTTGAATCATCAACACCAAAAAGTTAGAGCCCTCTTTGACACAAGCCTAGTGAAGATGTTCGTACCCCAGTGTATTTGGAAGGAAATTCAACGCCTCGTTCCATTGGCGCTCAAACAGCTACTTCCCTTATGCCAATGGCAACTACTTTTTGGCCTACTAAAAGCAGCACAAGCTCTCACCAAGAGAGGTCAAATTCACCTACATCCAATCCAGGGCTTCCTCACGCTCTACCTTCAGGACGACAATTTTCAGGCTCTAATCTCTCTCCTGAACCACCTACATCTACCATACACTACTGCCTAGAAGTTCATTCCCCTAACACGCGTTGAGAATGAATAGTGAAATAAAACAAAAGAGTGAGATGTGAAATTTGAGTTTATGAGCGGCCATTGAGCTGTGTTCACCAGACCATAAATACAAGGTCGGCCCGTCTTAATTAGTGTTCGGTTGCTAGACTTTTATGGCATGAACCATTCCACTAGGGTCCAGTCTAGCCATTGTGGCTAGCCGACAGTAGAACAGTAGTGAATTTAGATGCGAGTTTATTGCTAGGGGAACTCCCGTGTTGACACGATTGTCGCGGGTTGGTAAATGTTCGCCATTAATAAAATGATTGTTTGTGGATTGCGAACATATTCATTTTGCCCACATGAGTCATTCCACTTGATTGCAAATATAACGTTTTTCGTTCGCCAAATTTATGCTTTAGACAGTACAATTATGATATAGCCGTCACCACTACTAATGTCTCATTATTTCACGTAGGAATATGTCCCATTTCCCCACACCCCACTTTCTGTTTTGTATTTTGAAAGAATAAATAAAAGAAAGTTTTGTGTGGGACATTTTTATACTAATTATAAGAGGATGTTGGAAATGAATATGAATAGTCATGCTGTCTGACTGTTGATAGAATTTGAGATCTTCACAATCACCGGGTGTGACCATGTGGACAGAATCTCGTTCGGGTTTGTGATTTTCACATTTGCCCAATGACTATAGTGAGTATTGCTGGGGATACCAAACGTAACAGTTTATTATTAGAGGTTGTGAGTACCTATACCACGTAGATAGGATATCTTTAGGATTTTAATCCTTCTTTGAGAGGCATTTAGAAGTTGGAGTACTACGTTAGGATAAGATTTGTGGGTGACTTTAATCCTTTCTTTCTCTGTGGGTAATCCTTTCACGTTAATTGGAGGAAGTCACTCAACCAGGTCATGACAGGTCGTGAGTTTACTCACTAGCTACTGTGAGCGTTTTTGGCATGACATCTTTTCTTGTATAAACATAGTAACGATGCTCACTCACTCACTCACTGTTAATCTGCTGCAGTTTGCTGGCAAAGTGGGGATAAACCTCAGTGTCAAAGACGATCAAACTTAGTTCGAATCCTTGTTTATCTGTGACATCTCCCAACTGGTGACATTTTCATAAACTTGGCAAGTGATGATGAATTTTAATATTAATACTATTATAGTTTATGAAATTGTTAATAAAACTTGAATAAAATTGTGCTTCACTCTCACAAAAAATATATTGTCTGTGAGTAAATTTATATGTCACGTTACATCGGCATTTTTCAGTGATATTGCGAAGAAATAATTACCAGATTTTGGGACTACATGAAACATGGCTGGTTTTACAGTTCTGATACAGGTGCTTGACTGACTGAGTAGTTCATGATCAATTAATATGTTTAAATCAGTCAAGTTTGCAACAATAGATGAATAAGTTGATACATTTGGAC